GGATGTCCCCTTGTTTTCTTTGTACGACTATTTTGCAGCAATAGTCAGTCTAGTGTTGAGAGTCTAGTGTTGACAATCTACCATTATAGAACTAACATTATAATTGTAAAGCATATTCTTATTTTGAAATGTTATTATGAAAGTTTACTTTATATCTATATACACATTTATATTAATTGTTATATTTCTCTTGTAACGTAATATTTTATTGAAGGTACTTGGCATGCTCAGATTTCGATAAGTTTCTTTTATTTGAAAGCTCTACCTGGACACCGTAGAAATTATTCGGGTAAGCTATCGCGGTTTTGCGGTGAGCTTTTGAAGTCACAACGTCTTTAATGGAAACGCTTACAGTCGCTAATGATTTAGTATTAGTTTTTAGTGGACCAATATTTTTGTATAATACATCAAAAGATTCCAAATTATACCTAGTTAAAAATATTACGCACAAATATTCAAAAAACTACCTTCAAGATTTTTATTTAATTTTTTTTAAGTATAAATATCTCAAAATAAATCGAGAATTATAAGTAACTAAAAAAAATTAAACTTCATTTTTTCAATATTTTTTTTATATTGCGAGTAATCAAGTGGTTTATGATAAACTGATCACCATGTATACAGAGTGATTAATTAAGGATGAAACACTCATTTTTTTCGTTAACTATGGAAAATTTTTAATTTTTGGTAAGGAAATATTGTTTGATACAAAAAACTCTACTATAATATGTAGTAAAAACATGATATTTTTCATCCTTTTAAATTTAAAAAATATTAACTTGAGTTTTCTTAGATGGAACCCCTATTTTGAATTTGATATAATGATTAAAAAAAAAACCTAGCACAGTGGGGTGGCATAGTTGGGTCCAGTATATATGATATCTGACATTGATTAAAATCACTATCATAAAAAACATTTGGATGCAAATCTGTAGACAGTGTTTATTTTAAAAAATTAATGGAATATTCCAAAAGCTACATGATCTCCTATTTTATTATTTACATACTGATTACAAGTTTTATGATTTATGAAAGATAATATATAAATAAATAAACTAATATATATATATATAAATGTATTATATATCTCTCTTGTAAAGGTCTTGCCTTGTCGTTTTACTAATGGTATATATATATATATATCCTGGGAAAGTTAAATGCAGTGGTTTCCCGTTGCCTTCTGCACTGGCAACATGATGCTTTTTAGCTGCCGTAGAAGCGAAATGGTCACCCATCTGTTTACTTACGGCGGTAGGCACGACTTAACACTACAGTATTGTCAACACCTAGTGTGACCACCGCGCCACAACACGCCTTATATGTTTATATAATTATAAATAGTAGTTATCTTAAAAAAAATATAATGATCCATACATTTTTCAACAAGTAAATAGTATTATAAAGTTAAAAATATAACAAAGAATTTTTTTATAAAAATCGTATTTTTTTTATTAACTTTGATGTCTGTTTTCACCATGAAGACAAAATAAAATCCAAATTTTTTTTTTTCATGATAAAGTGTATTACATTAGTTATAATTTAAGATATATATAAAAGTGCCAGACTTTAAGGAACACTTTTAAAAGTGAGCTTGAAAAAAATAATTTTTTGTGAAAACGTTGTCATTTTGAATCCTCCATGTGGGCAAGTAAAGGGTTACATTTATAAAATCATATAAAATTATAGGTAAAGTTATTGTGCATTTATAAATAAAAAATTATATTGATTTAGTCATTTTTAACAAAGTTATGACAGTTTTAAGGAAAATAAATTAAATAAAGTCGAAAATAAGCAATTTTTAAATTTGTAATTTTTTTGGAGATTTCATCCATTTCGGTTTCAAATTTCATTTATAATTTTTTTTTTATTATTATTAACTTCAACTGAGTTGTAATACATCTTTATTGTATTATCTGCTACACTGTAGTAGTTTATAAACCAAGATTTAACTTGTTGATAAATCTAACCTGAGAAAAACTTTAACTGCATAGTAAAATTTTACAATGTTTAACTGCATATAAATAGTTAAATATCAATTTGTTGTGTAATTACTTACAATAAGTATAAATTGTTACATTATTTATAAAAAGTGTAGTTTTAATGATTATTTAATAAATTTTTGAATTTTTTTTTATTGCTTATTTCTTGCGATGCAAGTTTTTTATTTATATTCTGTATTCTAAAATATATTCTTGTTCTAATAATGAAGTGTAGGACTACATCATCCACCAAAAGATTATCTGAATTACATGCTTTTTTAGTTAATTCCAGTACATCTTTTATAAAGCCTGCAGTTTTTTTAATATCATCTATTAAAAATTTAATCATAGGTATCTATAAAATATTTTGCATTAACTGTATTTCTATAAGTACCCTTTCCATTTAATTTTTTAAAAATAGTTTCTATTATTTTTCCTAAATTTATTAATGTAAGTGATGGTTGTCGTAATGTTCCAAATTGTTTAGCCTCTATCCAATCGCTAGGTTCATTCAAATTATCTGTTGGTGAAGCGGGATTATTAATCGTTAATAAATCGAACGCTCACTTAAATTTATTTTTATGATATTTTTTAATTTGTTTGATTAATGTAATAAATATGAAACTTAACAAACTATAAATATAATTTACAAAATATTTGCTCCGTAATTTTATTTATAATTAACTTAAATCACAATATTTAAATACAAGTATGACTTAGATTAATATTAGAGCGCGTCGCTGATGGTTCAGCGGTGGAACGTACACTGACTAGATTTACAATAAAAGATACATTGCTGACCAGCTAAACAAAGATAAAATACAATATTATAGTGTGACTCGCGCTAACATTATCTACAAGATTCGGATAGTTGTATTCAAATTTAAAAGCTACATATCCCATTAAATATGTGAGGCTATCCTCCTCAAATAAATCTGATGAATTATATTCATTATTAGCATCACACTAAAAAAATATACAATGAAAAGGTACTAGAAATATTGAATATATTACTTTATTTTATTTTTATAATATAAAAACATAATATATGTTTCAAGATTATGTTATGCTATCTCTCTCATTCACTTAATAAGTAAAAAAGTTAAAATAATTTCTATAAATAATGTTGATTGTTTTTTAAAATTCACATTAAAAAATACTCATTTATTTTTTTAGAAAAAAAAAATATGCGCTATGTTTTCCAAGAATGTACCATCTTTACCTAATGTAATATATTTAATATTAATTTCTTCAATATCTTTCTAATTTATTGTTTTAAAATGAATAATAGTTGTTGGAAAAATATTTAACATTCATTATGCATCTTTCACACACTTAGCAATAATCCTTTTATTAATTTATTTAAATATAATAATACATAGCAATATTGCAGATACATTTATATTATAAATTGACACATAAAGCTGACAATGAATCTTATCACCAGAACTATTACATTTATAAACTGCA